CACACGTATGCAGACAGCTACATCACGGTCCTGCCGAAGGGGACGGAGTTTGTGGTGTTCAGCATCGACGGCTCCTTTGCAGCCAGCGTATCCATCATGGGCAGCGACCCCAAAGTCCGCGCCGGAGCGGTCGACGTTGTAAGGTCAGTGGCGGGGCTGGGGCAGTTGGTTTGTTTGACACTGGCGTTGCTCTAGGTCTGCAATCCACTGACTCAAGGCTTTCCTTCTAGGCACTGGCAAGACCTCGGCTACCTCATCATCTATGTCACGGGCCGCCCCGACATGCAGAAGCAGAGGGTGGTAGCGTGGTTAGCACAGCACAACTTCCCCCACGGGATTGTCTCCTTCTGCGATGGGCTCGTTCACGACCCACTGCGGCACAAAGCCAACTTTCTGAAATCCCTCATCACGGACGTAAGCCTGGGTCTGATGAAATATGATGGTAGCATGGGTTTAGATTGCTCCTCATCCAATGGCAATGTGACCCGCAGTGGAAGATTAATCTATTAATTTTATTTGCATCCACTTACTGCTTTACAAAGGTTTCTACGCTGTTAAATTGTCATCTCTGCTCTGCACTGCTCCATTTCATCACTCATACTTCCAACACCAAATGCCTAATGAAACACAGGCAGCAGTGCCTCTCTTCCCCACACGTGCACTTTTTTCCCCCATTTGGTGGCTTTCTGGCTGCCCACGATGTAACCAGCAGGTCTGAGAAGACATGGAGCTGCTGCAGAAATGGCCTTGCACCGCACAGCCGTGATGGGAGACTCTGCAGGGCATCTTCCCAAGCGTTCAACCCCAGGGAGGTCTTAATGTTGCTCAGCCCAGAGCTTCAGAAAAGCTCCAGATAAAACAAGGTTTTCTCTGTCTTGCAAATGAGGAACTGCCAGTGTCCTGAGCACCCATGTACTGCCTTGAATAGCAGGAAAGCCCCTCGTTAACTTTTGGACTCTCATTTCAGCCTGAGTCAAGGTGGAGGGAGCATCTGGCTGTCACTTGCTGCCTGCTCTCCCTTGTCCTCCACAAAAACAAGTTTGTAACCAGGAGCAGAGATTTCCTTTCCCTCTCCCCAGCCTGCCTGCAGCTCCAGTAGCACCAGTCTGTGGTAGCACCAGTGTCCACACCTCCCCTGCCAGCCCCTGCTTCAGCCCACTAAGGAAAGGGTTAGCCAGGACCTGCTCTCTGCTCGGTGTGGAGGCAGATGAATCCCTGAAAAGCAGCATATTTTGCTGCCTGTCCCTTCTCCTTCTGCCCAGTGGAGTTAAACAGTACTGCACATGGCAGTGTGGCTGGTGGAGGGGTGCACTCCCTGCTAACAATTACTGCTTGGGGGGTTGGAAACCGCTTCTCTCCCCACCATAACAAATAGGCAGTGAAGTGTGTGGCATCCCTGCCCCCCCCCCCCGCAGACCTCAAGGGAAGGCTGTGGATCGGGAAGCAGAGATCTGCTTTCGTATTGCTGTTAACTCTTGTTCTGGCCTGTAAACATCCCCAGCTCTGTTAATTAGCGCTTTGCACAGCGGTGTGTTATCCAGCTGGGAACTTATGTAAGTTATTGACCTGAGATTCCTACAAATGCTATTTAAAAAAAAAAAAACAAAAAAAAAAAACGAACCCTGCCTGTTGAGCAGCACGGAGCGCCCATATGTTCTGACCGCATGTTGCTTTCACTCCCCACAGCTCCACATGAGGATCCATGCGGCATATGGATCTACTAAGGACATCTCTGTGTACAGCTCCATCAGCCTCCCGCCCACGCACATCTACATCGTTGGCCGACCCACCAAGAAGCTGCAGAGCCAGTGTCAGGTAGGAGCCAGCTTGTCAGAGCTCCGGAGGTGCCACCAAGGGCCTCCTGTGGGTGGGCGATGGGAATTTGGTTGGGTGACTGAGCTAGTGTTTGCCAAGAGGACAGCAACTGTCCCACACACCAGGACCCATCGCATCTGTCCGAGCTGTTCCATGTCTCGTACGTCAACCCAGCACAGCAAACACCTCTGGCTGCCAGTGGCTATCTGGGAAACGTGTCCCATCCCTCTAACGCCTGCCCTCATCCCTCTTTGTCTCGCAGTTCATCACGGAGGGGTACGCAGCCCACCTGGCCCAGCTGGAGTACAACCACCGCTCGCGCCCCGCCAAGAACACCACGCGCATGGCGCTGCGGAAAGGCAGCTTCGGGCTGCCCAGCCAGACCGAGTTCCTGCGCAAGAGGAATCACCTCCTGCGGACCATCTCCTCCCAGCCTTCGGCCACCAGCGGCAGCGCCGGCCACCGCCCCGAGCGCACCCAGAGCCAGTCCGACGGCGACAAGGAGAGGGACAGGGAACGCAGCCAAAGAAGCATGAGCATCGCCACGGGATGCTGGGGCCGGAGCGCAGCGTCCCGGCTGGAGTCTGGCCTCTTGGGGCAGAAGTAGCCAGGCCAGAACCAACAACTGTTGGCTGCAGCTACCGGAGGAGAAAACAGAAGGAAAGAGGGATGAGGCCACGTTATGGGCTGGAAGGGTAAATATGGTGCTACTCTAATAACGTCATGGTATTCTGGGAAGAGACAGGATGTTTTCCACGCAGAACGTGCAGGCCTTGCAGCGGGAGCATCAGGCTCGTGCGGCATGAGCCCAAGGAACAGCTGGAAACTGGGGGGGGGAAAGTCTCCAGGTAAAGATCGCGCTCTCTCCTGCCTCCTTCTCTTATCCAGGTTTAGTGAACTGTAAATACGTGCCTCCTCACCTTGTTAGCCATTGCTCCGATACGCCTGACCGAGTGCTGTCCTCAGAGCCACAGGAACAGGGGATGAGGCTGGGGGAACTTCTTGGTTGTCCCAGGAATCAGACTGAGGTGCTCTGCCAGTGCCAGGCACGGGGTGGGTTTGGGGCTCGATAAGCATGCTGATTCCCCGGCACGGACAGCCCCAGGCAAGGGGTTTATCACGAGCTGTGCCAGGCAGAGCAACCGAGAGCTTTACCTGGACAAAGAGCTTCAAGTTCAGCCACTTTCTCAAGGAGTACATGCAGTGGCAAAGCATAAAGATGTATCGATGCTGTTGGTAGAGGCAGAATGTCGGCAGATTCACGCCCAAGACAGTGGGGTCGTTATTGTATTACGGTTATTTTTTAAAGAGACCTTTTAGAAGCCGATGGAATTTAATGCGGTGACCTATTAAAAGAGGAATACAAGCTATTTTGTTTGAGCTGTTACAAACCTCAGACACTTAATTTGCTGTTAAAGTCTCCAAATATTCTCGCTATGTATTATTTCCAAAAGTAACCACTATATATTTGGAAGCAGCTGAAGGCACTCAGCAGCTAGATTGCATTGCAGTTCTTCTCATCCAAATGCAGGGTCTGACTCTCTCAACACCCACCTCTGAGACGTTTTCTTCTTCCCAGGTTCTCTCCAGGTTCAGTAGCAGCTTTCATGAGAACTAGACTCGCTTCTTTTACCTGTAGTTACTGAACTGTAAAACCTCATTGTTTTTTGCACTGATGATTTTTAGAATGGAAACCTGTTACCATCTCATGTAGCTACACCTAACTGTTTGTAGTGCATGACAATGAAATATTGCTAAGCCAGGGTGTGTGTGTGTGTATATATATACATATATGCATATACATACGCACACACACGTATATATATGTATATATTTTAAAAAAAAATCTGTGCAGAAGTTTTTCCAGCAGTAAGGAGACTGTAAGGAAGTGTGCCAACAATGTCAGGCAACCTTAAGAAAAGGCCATATCTTAATTTTCCTGGTGTGTTTCTCAGTGGACATGCCTGAGCTGATGGTTTGTGTGCTGCTGGAGCGAGCCGGGGCTGGGTGTGTGGCAGGGGGGAGAAGCGCTCGCTGCTGGCTGGCACCCCTGGTGACACCGAGACAGTGACACCGAGACGTGCACGGCGCAGGGAGCGGGAGCGCGTCGCTCTGCCGCAGCGGAGGAGAACAGTGCCTAGAGTGAGGGCTTGCCAAAAAGCCCTTTAGCCCTGTCCCTCCTGGGTCAGCCTGGCCCCAGCGAGGGGCCTGGTTCCCTCCTTGCACACACCTCCCAGGGCAGAGGGGCGTCCCGGGGGGGACCTGGGGTGCCCATTTACAGACTCCAGTTGGCCTCTTCACGTGGAGATTTTATAGTCCTACCGAGCTCCCCAACTACGTGCAATCCTGCTTTCCCCCACCACACTTCCCTGTCTTTATATCACTTTCTACTTATGAGGATCTTATTTATAACAGAGAATTTTTTAGACTGGCTGCTTCATTTTATTAACTGTTTCAATATGAAGTGCAGGACGGCCGCACTGAGATACACAGCACTGTGAACGCTGCTCTGCTAATTGGCCCTGGGCCACGGTAGGCAAATCTAACTCCTCAGACGTCCAAGGTAGATCTCGTGTTCGTGGCGCTGGAGGGTGGCGGCGGAGGCGGGACAGTGCTGAGCTGCCGATGGCGTCCGAGCCGGTGCAGTGCTCAAACCCAACTGCCTGCCCGCTGCCCAGTGCATCTCCCACGTCTTGCAGCCTGACTGCAAAATGTTTAACCACTTCTCTTTGATAATTATTCAATTACAGAATGTATCTGATGACTTTTGTTACCGAAAACTGACTTCCCTTTCTGCCGACTCAGCTTAGCTCTCCCTGAATGTACATCCAGAGCTTACTGAGTTTAAAAACAATGTGAATTGTCCCAGCTTTTTGCTAGTCGAATGTTGTATCAAACAGATGCCATCTGAGTAGGAAGCCAAGCCACAATCCATCCTGTGAAGTCACCAAACCACATCACAAAATAATTTCTGCAAATTTGGATATGGCCTTTGCAAAATTCAACTTTCCTCCAAGTCCGCAACCAAGGCATGATCTGTGCATTTTCCAATGCTGACGAGATGTTCACATTTTCTTATGTGTAGATAGTGTAAAACAGAGGCGAATGTAAATGTTCAACATAAAAAGTGGATATATAAAATTGAAAGTTATTTATTTATGTAGAGGAAAAAAAATGTCTGGAGGGACTGGAACCTTCAGGGTTTATTAATATTTAAAAATGTAGCTTTTTGTTTCAGGCATTATGTACAAAGCAATTATTTTATGGACCAAGTTTAATGTAACTGTCAATGAATGCAGAAGTGCAATATTATACTCACCTCTCCATCACTTCATGTTTTAAACAGCTACTAACCAGTTAGACTGACAATCATAGCACCTCCGTCCTCATCCTTTGTTGAGCTTCTTGAAACTCGCCTGGGTCCTTTCCCTGGCCCCCCATCTGTTGCCATTGTACGGATCCAACATGGAGAAGCAATTGTAGAGCAGGACCTTTATTGCTGCAATAATACCAGATGAGGTGGGTGTAGTTACCAGGAAATATGCCAGTAAGTTTTTCTCCACCGGTTCAGTCCATCATAGTCTACATCAGTCTATCCTCAGCCGCCCCCATCTGGCACTCATCTATCTGAAGCAAAGATCAACGTGCTACTCACTCAAAGAACAATAGCAATAGTTTAACTCTGTGTTTATAACCTGTTTGTTCCAAGCTGTTTTGGAGAGCAATGCATGTGACCTGATGCCTTTCCACATGTATGGAAGAGGAGCCGTTTGGATGCAGTGAGGGAAAGATGAATGTATATTCCATCTTTGCTAAAGGGGCACTGTCAGGTTACAGACCTAATTTATCTTTGTTGCAAATGTTTGCTTCAAAACGGAAGAATATAAAGTTTCTTGTACTCCTCCCTATCGCCGTTGTCTGGGCAGCCACTGGCGCGACCAGCGACAGTCGCGCTGCTTCTGCTGCAGCCCACGTCCTGTTCTCGCACACTAGCACAATACAGCCCGCGCTGCGCAGGCTGCCTCCGTGGTTTTTTTGGTTTTTTTTTTTTTTTTATTGTTTCCATGGGAATCAAACTCTGCTGTGGAGCTCAGATTTTTTATAAAAAGCAGCTTTTTGTATTACTGCGCTATTGGGCCAGACTTTCTACCTGACGTTGTCCCTTTAAAGTCTTTTAAAAAATACAAAGAGGAGCCCGTGCATTCCCTCCGAGTTGTTTTCCTGGATTTGCTAGATCTCTCAGTCAGATGAGGCGAAATTCTAATACCAAAAACGTTTACAGTGTCCGATACGCGAGCCGAGAGCAGTAACTAGCCAAAGGGTTACTAACAAACTCCCGCTCCGCCCAGCAGCCGCCGTGCTTGCTGTAGCAGCCCCTTCTTCAGGTATCGCCACCGTTTGCTGCATTTCCTATTAGTTCTAGAAGCCTTACGGTCCCCTCCCTGTCCTCAGCACCCCCTGCCTGTTGATACCCTCGACTGTCAATTTTATATTCCAACGATGTTAGTTATATTTTATTTATAAAAAATCGCTTTAGGGGTAACAGACGCGTGTGTGGGGACCCACCGGAGGGCATGCCCGAGGGCGCCGGCAGCCGCGCTGGGTACGCCCCTGTGTGCACAGTACCGTGCCGATGACTCGCTTGTGTGTGACAAACCTTCTGTACAACTTCCTTCTCCTCCTTGCTGTTAGTGCATTGTTCCAATGCCTGGGTGTGCTTTGTGTACAGTATCATTGTGAGTTACACAGATTAAAGAAATGGGAAGGCTCTTCTCTGTCTGCTTTTTTGGGGGGAGACTCTAGAAAGAGACAAATCACAAAGTCCAATATGTGAGCAGGCGAGAGTTTAATGGGGTTACAGCAATGAACAGAACATGGAAACCCTCTGTGCAGACCAGTCCTGCGGGACCCATTTGTCCTTTAAAACCCATTTGTCTTTTTTTTTTTTTCCGCAGTTTGTAGATTTATAGACTTTGCAGTGAGGGAAAGCCCAGCTGTTTGCTTCACAGTGGCCACGGGCACGGGCCCTGAGAAGCCCTGAGCCCTAACGCTGCCCGGGGCCTGTGCTGCAGGAAAGGGACACGAGTCACATGCAGGAAGAGACAGCAAGGCAAAGCCACCCCTCTGTAAAGCACATGGGCCCGCAGCCCAGTGCAGTGTGCCAGGTCAGTGCACCCGGTGAGATGAAGCTGCAGAAAGGCTGAGTAAAGCCCCTGGGGCACAGCAGAGAGTGGCACTTGAAGGGGCCAGGAGCCTGCAGCAGCACTAGCTAAGCATGGGGCACACAAATCCAGCAAGAAAGGGGCTGTGAGCAACCCCTGAAGGGAAGAAGTGGCAGCCAGCTGCATATTTTGCAGCCCCAGATCCTACCCTGCCCTGGGTGCCGTGTTGGCTGCTGCCCACTGAAGCCCAGAGCTGAGGGGCAGCAGCACCTTGAGGTGCTCGGCACCAACAAGCCTGTCCCTGGGTGCTGCTGAGATCCTCCGGCCTCGAAAAGGGCAGCAGGGCAAGCAGGTGTTGTGTGTTACAGCCACACTGGCCCCAGTCAGGAGAGGGTGGGGAGAAGCTGTTTACTGGGAGATGAACCATTAAAGTTGCTCTCCTTCCCAGTCAATAACTTACAGAGCGGCTGAAAACTGTTCCTGGGGATGCATCTTGCTGCAGTGCTGTCTGCGTGGTCTGGAGACAGAGGCTCAGGCCTGGGCTCACTGCAGCAGCCCTGTCCTTGCCTGGAAGGCCAGCCCGTCCCCGCGGGTGGCTTGCTGCAACAGGAGAGACACAGGTACTAACAGAACTGCCTGCCTGAGGGTGAAGGACCACCAGCACCCACCCACAGCCGCCCCTGCAGAGCTGCCAGGGCTTGGTTTGCCCTGGTAGAATCAGTGGAGTCCCCAGGGAGGCAAGACAACACCCCTGGGTACAGCAGCTCCCTGGCTGCACCCACCCACCCACCCACCCACCAGCAGCTCACACTGGTAGCAAGTCCCCACTACCTTGTTAATCTCCTTGTGTCTCTCCTTGCTGACAATTTCTTCTAGTATTTCTCCGTCTCCCTTAATAAGCCTGGAAGACAAGCACAGCCCCATGAGCTATGAGGGCTATTGCCAAGTTCCAGCCAGCCATGCTGTTTCCCAGCCATAGAAGGTGCTGATCCCCGCCCTTTACCTCCCCAGGGGCTGCTGTTGTGGCCCAGCTCAGGCACGCAGCCACCAGCTTCCTCACAGCTGTACCTGCCCGAGACCAGGCATATGACTAGAGGCTAAAGCCCCTCTAGACAAGGCTAGTGTTGACCTACCCTGAAATGGCATTATGTGACCTTTTGGGGCTGTAGCAAGCTTAAATAGCACAGCAGGCTTTTCCCTTGCTCTTGTGGGATTAATGTCACCCTGCAGGAGCAAGGATGGGTCTGGTCCTCTGAGAAATCAGCATCCCCCTGTATGGGCCAGCCGTCCCTGCCCCAGGCTCTGGGCACTGTCTGCTGTGTTCAGAGCCAGGTCACACTTGCACACAGCAGGAGAAAACACCCATAATAAAATCATCTCCTGACACCCCACCACCTGCAGGCTTCGCTGTCAACAGCAGTGGCCCCAACCCCTGCAAAACCTCTTCCTTTTTTCACAGAGTTTAGGTCTGGCCCTGGCTGCCCCAGGAAACTGCAGAGCCATTCAGAAAGAGGAGCCAGTTTGGGCCTGAAAGGCAGCCAGACTGGGGAGCATCTTGCTGAGCAAATTCCAAGCAGTGTCGGAGGCGGCTCACACCTCCAAACATGAACAGAAATTTAATTGTCTTCATTACATGCCTTACAGGGAACCGACCTTTGTTCCACACCTCCCTGATCCCCGCAGGCTGCCTTCTATTTTAAGACTGGACTTGTCATACCCAATTCTCTTCAGCATGAGGTTTTCTGCTTGCTGAGAAGATGCAGTTTATTAAAAACTGGGTCATTTCTATTTGGCAGCTAAACGAACTTCGGTTTGATTGTTGCCTGTAACCCCAAGGGGCACATGCTGCCTCCTTACTTGTACCCAGGTGCTAACTGGGGCTCAGTGCTTTGGAGCTGAAAGGCAAGTGCATGAAGCAGGGGGGTGAGGGGTCAGTCACCCATCTGGTTCCTGCTCTGCCCCCGATTGCAAAGTCCCATTTAATGGACAAAACTGAACTCTGCACAGCGCAAAGAACAAACCTTCTGCCTCCAGCAGTGGGGTGCTCCGGTATCTGTAGCCCACAGCTCCTGGCTGGGACACGGCCTGGTGCCCTTTGCATGGAGCCCCAGCACTTTGCTAATTCGGTGTCAAACACGTCACTTTCTGGGTAAATTACACCAGATCTGATGGGAGGGGATCAGCGAGGGATCAGCCCAGGCCTTTGCTGCTGAAGGGGACCTGGGTCCACACCTGGTACTGCAGTGCCACACTGCAACTCGCACAACACGGGTGGGGATGAACAACCCAGCTCCCTTTTCCCCAGGGATCATACCTGGTTCTCCCCGTTTCGGGATCCACCACTCTCCTTATGACACTCTGCCTCGCGTCCCATTCTTCCTTTGTCATTGGCTTCATAGCCTGGATTCGGGATTTTTGTTCGTCTGTCAAAACTGGAATGCATCAGTTAGAGCCATGCTCGTGGGGCCGGCTCCTGGCTGAGGGGCACAGCACCCCGCCAGCAGTCCACACGCACGCTGAACACGCCGCACCAGTTTCCCAGCAGTACTGGGGTTCAGTGATGAACCACACAACAGAAGGGCCGCTTCACATCCCAAAGCCTGTATGAGCTTTGCCAGCACGCGACTGCTGATTGCGTCCTTCCATTGGGCATCTTTGTTCCCCGCTCACATCTCTAAACTATGTCTAAACGCTTCACAAATGAATCTCTGAATGTGGCACCTTACATTTACCTGGTGTGGCTCAACGGTGGCCACGCTATGTAAGGAGGGAGGGTCTGGCACTCCTCCCCGCACGCAGCCCTGCCGCCCTCAGACACCTCGCGTGGGGCCCACAAAGGGCAGCACACGAGCGTCTTTCCCCAGCGCGACGCTGCTGTACCCTGGCCTTGGCAGGACAGAAGCACCATCATTACCTGGTCCAGAGTCCACCAGTGATTCCTTCTGCCACTGCTCCAGCGAGGGGCCGGGCACTGCTTCTCCCTTGGCTTTCTCCTCCTTAGCCCTTTCCTTTAACTTCTTTTTTGATTTCTTTATTTTCTTCTTCTTCCTCTTCTTCTTCTTTTTGTCTTTCTGTTTTGCTCGCTTTTTTTTTCTGTGTCGACTCTTCTTTGTTTTGGATTCACTGTCACTGGAGTCATCAGAAGAAGAGCTGGAGGAAGAGGAAGATGAGGAAGAGCCGGTGGATGAAGACACTGTCTCAGAGGAAGAGGTACTTGCCTTCCTCTTCTTTTTGTGCTTTCTTTCCTTCTTCTTTTCTGCAATAGATAAGAAGAGGTTGAGTGGAGCAACCCTGGCCCCGCAGCAGCAGGGATGCTGGTTATCCTGGTTTCTTTCTTGCCTGAACAGCAAAACCCCCAAAAGCCAGGGCAAAAACCCCTCGAGCACGTCACAGCGTGCGGTGCCATGGGCTGGGCCAGCAGGCCGAGGGGCTGCAGGGCTCCGCGCTTGTCAGAACGAGACTAAAATGGGCACAAAGCGCAGGGCAAAGCGACAGACACCAATTCGGCTAAAAGCAGGGAACTTGTCCTCCCACCTGGATCCTCTCTGGGCACCTTCCCCAAGAAAAATGTGATGGAAGCATGGAGTGGTGGGGCTTTTCCCCTACCTTCCCCAGCTGCTGCTGAGCTCGACTTGTGTCTGTGAGACCCAGAGGTCTGCTTCCTCGGAGGAGAGCTGCTGCCCCGGGGCGAGTCCTTGCTGCTTTTCCTCCTTTTCTTCTCCTTCCGCTCCTGTCTGCTCCGAGAATTGCTTTTGGTCCTGCTTCGCGATCGCTTCCGAGACTGGCTGTGGGCCATCATCCGTCAACTCCTGGAGGGAACGGGTTACCTCAGTGCCACGGGGGAAACCACCCTTGCTTGGCGGCAACACGTCCAGCAGCCCCAAAAACCTTAAATCCAACTCTGAGCCAACCAGCTCTGGAGGACCTTTCCCTGGTAAACTCTCTCCCACCTGCCCTCGCTGCACTCCCAACACGTGGGGATAGGTCGGGGTTACCCATCACACCGCTGTGGCCAAACTGAATTTCACCAACCCACCAAACGGAGCCCTCAGCCGTGCAGGGACAGCACTGCTGGCCCCAAGCAGCCCTCGCCTGCCTCAGGACAACCGTCTCCATGCAGATTCAGCATAAAATCTCCACAGGGTTTTCCCCACGCTTCTGGCATTTGTCCTTAAATGTAGTGACTGAGAATCGGGCTGATCCCCACCGGGGTCAGGGTTTGCAGGCAATGCTGTGCCCCGTGGCCCTGGGGACAACCCCGCGGGGCCGGGAGCTGTTGGGGGGGATGTTGCCTCGGCAGACAGATGCTGGTGAGGTGCAATCGATGCGACGGTCACAGAATGAAACATCTTCCCCAGGGAGAACAGGGAGGCAGGCACCCCATTATTTAAAATGCCAAGAGCAGGCGTGAGCCAAAGGGGAGGTATGAATTTTTAATGTTCCAATTTGCTTTTAGAAAACAGATTATGCATTGAGCTGGCACCCCCGTCCATCAGCCCGACCAGCTGCCAGCAGCCACAGGCCAGAGACAACATGATATATGCTCTCGTTAATTTAAAAAACAAACTGGCACCGTCGGCAGAGCAGTATCTGGGAAATGCCTTCCCACAGCCCCTCTCCAACTACTGCATTTAATGAATTGCATGTTTACCACCTCACTATTCCCAAGCGGCAATTCGCTCCCGAGTGAATCAGACCTTCGATTGATTTCCAAATGGAAATTTCAATCAGAAAAACAAACAAACAAACAAACAAAACCCACAAAGCAATTAAGGACAGGCAGGGAAGTTGCTGAGTATGAGAGTCACAGCCGCACGCCCAGGGCCTTGCTGGCGGGACAGTGTTGGGGTCTCGGGGCTGCTCCACGGGATGTCAGACACCAGCGGGCAGGGGCATCTCGGCGAGCCTGGGGCGATGCCGCGGGAGGGGGATGAGCCCCGAATCCATCCCGGCGGCACCCCAGCCCCGTCGCGCCCCAAAGCCGGGGTCCCGCCTCCACCCTGCCACCGAGTTCGTGGCCACAGCGCGGCGGCTCCTCCTGCCCGGCCGGCTTCGCCCAGGCCCGGCCCTCGGCGGGGAGCTGGGAGCCCCTTCCCTCTCACTCCAATGTAGGGAGCCTGCGGCATGCTGGCCCTTTAAGAGCTCAGTATCAGGTGCGCTGGCCCTTTAAGAGCTCAGTATCATGTGCGCTGGCCCTTTAAGAGCTCCGCAAGAGGTGTTTTGGCCCTTTAAGACCTTAGCACAAGGCCTGCTGGCCCTTTAAGAGCGCGGCCCCTCGTCCTCGGCTCTTTAACCGCCCGCCCCCCCACATCGGGCGCCATCGCAGCGCCCATGCGTGTGCACCCCCCGCCCGCCCACTCCCCCCCCTCCCCGGTGTCCCTCAATCGGATCGGCCGCTCCGGCCCGGACCCGCCGCAGGTAGGAGGACAGACGGACGGACGGACGGACTCACCGCGGCCGGGCCCCCGCGCCGCGCGCCGCCCGCCGCCCCCGAGCGCTGCCCCCGCCGCCGGCTCCGCGCTGGCCTCTCCCCCCTGCTTCCGGCGCGGGGCGCGGGGCCGGCCGGCAGCGGGGCCGCGCTCTTTGGTTCCGGGGGCCGCCGGGCCTGCGCTTGATTTGGGGGCCGGGGGGGGCTAATTCAGCTCGGAAGCGCTAGCGTTTTCTGCCGAAGAAAACGAAGACTTCCTGACTGAGTTTCTTGATGCCAGCCGTTCAGCCCCGCGCACAAATACAACAACCGGTTTCCTCCCGAGCTGCGATTTCAATGGGTTTTGCTAATGAGAAGCTAATCAGTGCTGGGTGCTAATGGCATCCCCGGCCAAAAATGCAGGGGATCTGCTGGGAAAGGCTCAAATCAGCGCCCTTTGGGTGAGCTGTACTGGCTCACGTTCAGCCTTTCACAACTATCGATGATGTGAAGTCCACACACTGCAATTACTGCAGTTGAATAAATGGATGAAAAAGCCCTTTATAAACACAGCGGCGTATGTATGTATCAAATATGGACAATTAACCTCCCACAGAGGCAAATGCAGCCACCAAATCAAAAGGTATTTGGCTGCTTTCATTGGTAGATGGGAGAGTTGGTCACTTCAGTCAGCTGGCAACGGGGAAAGCTCTTGACCCTCCTAATGCATCGGCTGCCAGAGGATCTTGCTGCCAAATTAAGAAGCCCCAGGTCTGCCTGCTGCACCCAGGTTAAGACAATTATTTTGTATTTTCACCTGTTCACACAGCTAAAAGAAGGGAGGTAAATGTATGCTCTTGCCTTCCTCTGCAAAATTTTTACTGTTGCAGGTGGTTCCCAGAGCTTTGTCTCCAAAGCCCGTTTGTGCTTGCTCAGTAAACTTCACAGCATCTTTGCAAGGGAAATTTCTGCACAAAAGACCTCGTGGAGGCCCTGAGAGATCCTCTCAAGGGATCAGTTCTCCCTATATTGTCCCTGATGGATTTTTCTGAGCCTGGGTTGGGTGTACCTCTGGTGACAATTATTCCATGCCGTTCCTAGCAGCCTGTTGTGAATCACCTGTAGCTCACTTCTGAGCAGGTCCTTCACTGTCACCCAGCAACAAAAATCTCTTTCCCTGGAAGAAGACGGGAGTCCCTGCAAACAGCAGAGAAATGGTAAGTGCCGGGCTTTATTGTACCATTGTTTTCCGTTTACAGCATGACCCACACTGCTTGCCATTGGCACAGAGGTCTTCACGAAGGCCAGGCAGCTTTGGGCGTTTTCCCTGTACACCCAAAAATATTTACAGAGCCTTTGCAGTGAATCAATGTGTCACAGCTTTCTACGTCTTCCAAGCAGTCCTCCAGCTCTCCAGCCCCACCGTGAGCCGCAGCCGAGTACCGGCTTCTTCAGCTGTTGGAGCAGCTGGCTTCCCTAACCCCAGCAGGATTGGTTTTGCATCATTGTCCAAGGTGACAGCTAATTCTTACAAGACTCGTGCATCCATCAAAGAGTCTTTTAGTGCAGTCTGAGAGGTCAGAAAGGAGCTTTAGGCAACGTGATCTGGAGAAATGAGGTTCTCCTGTCTGCTACCACAAGGAACAGAGATTCACCGTCTCGGCCACATCATCTTTAAGGGTTTCTGTGAACCCATCTCCAAACCCCTCTGATTCCACCAGCTCAGGTTTCTTGTTGCACATGGGGCACAGCCGGTTGCGGATGGCAGAAGATCTCATCCAAATAATGAGGTTCCACCGTTCCCCAGAAGCAATGGGCAGCGCCCCGTGGATCTGCCCTCCTCGGTGTAAGAGGCCCTGGGCTCCCACATGTTCGATCTCTATGTACTTTGGCACAGGGGTAGGATCCTGGAACAAAGGGAGGTGGATACAGCATTACAACAGAAAGTCCCCAGCAGAATGCTCAAATACTTGAAACTTTTAATCGTCACCTCTTCACCCACAGCACCCAGTCTGCAACAGAGAGAGGACTCACTGCACCTCTGAAACACAGCCACTTCAGTGGTGGCTTGGCAGCAGTTTAGTACAACTGTTTTCCAGTAAAACATTCTTAGTGCCAGGTCCAGAAGGAATTTAAAGTTAGTTTCAATCCAAAAAACTGTTTCACCAGTGTATGGAAGCTATTACCCCTTTATTGCCAGGAGTCCCCTGGAAATAGGGGCTACAGATGTAGGTTTAAGCCTCATCTGAAATAAATTTCTTCTCTCTCTTTCTCAGCACCTCCCTGCTTACTGTTTCAGTTGTGGAAAGATGGGCTGATTTGTTTCCTTCCAGTTCCTACCACGCTAGCTGTCTCTGTCCTCTCTTTGAAGCTTGAATACTGATAACGTGCTTGTAGCAGAAAAGGCTCCTGTATAACCAAGACACTTAAAATAGGGGGAAGGGACAGAGCAGGTTTGACTGTCAGAAGTGAATAATTGTTTTTTAGAACACCATTAATGCCTTGAAACTGCGGGAGGTAAAAGGGAATAGAATGGGGGTCCAGATGAGGAATATGCTCAGTACCTGGCTGAAATCCCCAAAGTACAAGTTGCCTTCTGTGAAGTCTTTTCCCAGTGAAACGTTTAAGGTGATTTCTGCATTGTCATAGTGAGAACTCAAATCCAGATCTTCATGTAGCGAGTACTTGACAACAAAAGCTTTATGGCTGTCCAGACAAGTGCCCCCCAAGTCAGGATAAAGCAGTGCCGTTATGGGCTGCAGGTATTTTTCACGCAGTGGTGTGATGAAAGTTTCATCCATCCCAAGCTCATTGAGCAAAACCTGTCTCAAAGAGAGGAGATGGGAACAGCTGACCAACTACATCTGCTTCATCAGAGCTGCCTTGTTCTCTTCCAACCCTGCTGCTTGCTCACATAAATAAATTTAGAGCAAAGGCTCCAGCTACAGGCAAAAGAAGGAGGCTCAAGGTGGAAAGTGATGGGGAAAAGGCAGAGTAAGATCAACGTCTGAGTGTTCTTTGAAAACTGACGCCTTGATTTAAATGTATATTGCTTAAATACAAGATGCTCTTTGCTGTTAGATACCAACTCCTGTCCCCTTTTCCTGCATTTCCCTGTCCTTCTGTGTAACACACATGCCCTTAACCCTTTCCCTTCAAGGGGGCTGTACTCAAAGTGTACTGTGCTCAAATTACAGACATTTTGGAAGGGAGAGGAGTGTGAAGTGAGGAGGTAAACAGAGTCTGCTCGTGAACACTCCCACTAAAGAAGCAGAAGACATAGTGAGCCCTACCCCATAGTTATTCATAGTGTTGGGCCTGCCTTTAGGCATATCCGACTGCTCAAAGTTCTCCAGCTCATCCACAAAGGCTTGGCAGAACTCTTCTGTGAACACTGGGAGTCGATAGATCCTCTTATCTGTCAAGAGAACGGAGGTACCGTTTGCTGGGGAAAATAACAGGCTGTTGTGCTGTCTAGCTATACTGTGCTGGTGTCAGTGAGAACACAGGACCCATGTGCTGCACTTTGTGCTCAGGCTGGTCAAAGGGCTGGGAACCGTTCGCTGGGATTAGCTCTGGGATGTATTTGTCATTTTTCAGGTTGGCCCCTTGTTTCCAGGCTTTCCCATCCAGTTGGGAGAGCTGGCACTGATTTAAATGCTTGCTGTAGGTGCCAAGGAAGTGTTATGAGAGTGTCTAGAGGAAGGGCAGTGAATCAACGGCTCATCACAGACAGTCTGAATATAGCCTCCTGGAAGGAGACTCAACGTCATTTAGGGGATGTGGGATTCACTCATCCTGGGCCAACCTTCTGGGAAGACCAGACCTTCTGAGCTGCCTTTCAGGGTAGAACGCTGAAGGGCTGTGTAAGAGGAGCTCAGTATTGAGGATATAGAAGCTGAGATAAAGACAGTGTGAAAAGGTTGTGTGTCTGGAAATTGTGCCTTGGACAAATCCAGGAGCCTTACACATACACATTTGTGTCTTTTTGTCTTGTGAAAAGGAGGCAACTTTGCAGCTTCCCCTCTAGATTTTGTCAGCATTTCTGGTAGGGAGAGTTTCACAGATGCCTCCAGGGAAGCTTAAAACCCAGATCTCTTTTTAAGAGACTCAAATCTAGACTGAAACTATTATGGCTCAGACTAACCAACAGGGATTGTCTGAAATGGTAAAGCATTTGGTGGGGGGAAAACCAAGCTCCCCAGGGCTAACAGTGTTCCTTCAGCAGGCTCCCCCGTGAGGTTGTGGTACAACCAAAGCCCCAGCCCTGCTGCAGCTACAGCCTCTGATGAGCCATCAGCAAACTGGGACTGGAAAAGCAGAAAACAGGATCTCATCCAGAGCATAACTGCTGCATAATACTGCCTCTCCAGAGACCCTCGTCAAGCAGAAAATAACATCCTGTTTGTCTCAGCTGTGTATCAAATCTGAGCTATTAAAGACAGGGTTTGAAAACTGCTATCATCACTGAAGCTGCAGTGTCACACGGAGAGATCTTTGTGACTGACATGTTGTTCTCTTTACCTGAGAAGGACTCAACGTAGCGCAGGAGGCCATGGAGATGAGCATCTGGTGATGTGCAGTACCTCACGATTTCTAGAAAATCTGGGGCCAGGAATGAATCCTGGTGTCAAGAGAAGGATGATGAAAATAGGCAGAAACACAATTAGCCTGTGCAGTCTTTTACAGCCCGAGAGGGAGATGGGCTTCCAGGCAGCCACAGGAAAATACGCAGAGCAAGGAGCAAGGCTGATAGTCACACTTGGGTTACTTCTGCAGCAGGAAATGCAGAATGTTACTGGTGTTTTTCTTGGTGGCTTAGGTACGTTGCTGCTTGCTCTAGTTCATGGGTTTCCAAGTATAATTGGCCAGATTTATCCTTAGTGTGATGGGAAAGAGCCTGGCTCACCTTATGGACTCCTAACAGGTAAGTGCAAAGCCTTTCCTAGTAGATTTAGCATCTTGTCATGGCCTCAGCACAACAGAGTGACTATGCTCTGCTTTAAGCACTTCCCCGCACAGATCATGACAGACAATGGCAGAACATGTTACTAAAGGATCACGGAGCAGTAAATCTGTGAGAACTTGTGTGTGTGTTACTGCTGATCTGTGGTAATTATCCAGCTGGGAAATCTTGGGTCTAGCAAACATGAGGAAATTCAAAGCAGAGTAGCCCACAACCATGAGGGCTACCCTGCCTTTGCAAGTGGGCTGCTGCCCCCCTTCAGATGACAGTCACTAGTAACTTGTCTGTATGTTAAGCCCCTAAATGCTGATTTCTCTGGGTGTTCGTTAGACCTCACCGACCCTGTTCACTGCAGTGATTCTTTGGGTCTAAATTACTAACAGTATTCTGAGTCCAGTACCAGATGCTGGTGCAGTTTCTATATAGAATGACCCTTATCTGGCAGAATCTTGCCTGGAGAATATGCTATGCTGTGAAAGATTTTAATTCAGTTTTAATATGCTATACTTTGGTTTTAATTCAGTCCAGCTCTAGCACTGTGGGCCATCCCAAGTAGAGGGCTTCCTACCGCAAAAATAAACTGTCAAGCAATTCCTTGGGTGCTAAATAGATTCCAAATATACTGTCTACCTGCAGAAGGTACACTTCTGGATGTTTTTGTTTGTAGCACTTTGAGATGATGGCTTTGCGTTCCACTGACTGGTGAATTAACTGTTTTCTTCTCTGCACTTCTGCCTCAATCTACAAGTAAACAATAGAGCATACTGTTAGAAAATCAGAAAGGACAACTGAAACAATTCCAGGAATTTGCTCATTGTTTTAAACAAGTTATTTTTGTTCCGGTCACCTCTGGGAGACAGAATGTGTGCCTTTGCTTTTCTGTAGTCAAGACAAGTCCAATAAATATCTGAAAAGCCAAATGCCTTAGAGGGATTTGAGACACGTTCTCATTATGAATGGCTTAAAAAACAACTGAAGTCTTTCCATGGATATGTCAAGTGAAGCTTTGAGGTCTCAGCCCTTTCAGGCATTCTGACGCCTCCTGAATCGCCAGCATACGCTTTAAGAGTCTGGCTTATGTTCTGACAATATAAGCATTGTCCAAAATAAAGACATTTGCTGAGAGGGAGACGGTACTTGTCATGAAGGGATTACTGCTAAGTGTTGTGGGAACAGGCTCATCTGTCATTTCAGAGGAAACAGCTGTAGTGACAGCTGATTCAGGCAGCTCTTCCTATTTAATAACCCCTCCATGAGATTAGTTTGTAACATTCCTCAGCAAAAAAGTAAAGAGAGTGTGACCAGTACCCCCTGCTCCTAACCCCTGGTAATGTGGTTAGCCTAACTAACGCCATTTTATAAGGCAAACAGCCACTTTCTGTGACAAAGTGGGTCATGTATTCATTCCCTTTCCCTCCTTATGAGGCCCTGTAGGTCCTGTGAACCAAGTAGACAAACCAAACAGATTTCTTCTTCCCCTCCCTACCAGGCTCAAGGTCCCTGGGTGCCAGGCCGGTTGTTCCCTTCCTTGCTGGCCTTGAAGGTCCCGGGCACCCGGCCAGCCAGGGGATATTGATGACCCCACCACAGAACAGGGAGACATAACAGCACCCAGAGCACTGTCTATAAAATCAGGCAGTTACAAGCCCTAAGTGGGAATCTTGGACTGGAACTGTTGCTGGACAGTGAGAGCCGGGGCCTCCCCAGGGGCAGGAACACCTCCACCATCATCTGCTTCCTCTGAGGACTGAGTGACTAATATTCTTTTACGGGGTTTTTGAGTCTACATTATGGTGGTCATACTGATACAGCAAACCATGTATTAAAATCTGACCCATCTGCAGAGGGTGGTTAGGAAGTTAAGTTAGGATCTACATGATTAGAAATTGCAAATTAGGATCCAGAAATCCTAAGTTAAGTTGTATTATAAATTCTGCATTACGCTGTTTATTGTGCTTTGTTGATTCTGCTTGTAGAAATCTTGTGCCATTCTACTCATAAATTCTGTGCATTCTGTGCCTTACTAATCATAACATCCTGTTAAGAAAATAAGGCTTAAATTTTAAGTTTGATTTAGTGCCGTCACCACTCTGCCAAGAATCTCCAGTGGAAGCTGTCTGTCCCCTTCGTGTTGGGTGAAATTGGAGCTGGTTGTGTGACAGAGCTCTGTCCCCAGCCCGGAAAGAAACACAGATCCCTCCCTAAAAAGTGTCCTGGGGAGCGGGGATTGGCAGGGGGGGAAGTTCTTTCCGTAACTTTCTGCAGCAGACCTCGTGTGAAGTCTGCAGGACCCTGGATGATCCCATTGCAAGGCACCCTTTAAAAATGGACAACGGAAGGGATGAGGCAAGACAAACCAGAAGGGCATAAGAGCCAGGTGAGTAAAAACGATTAGTGAGCAGCATGAAAGGCCATTTTGATGATGTGTTGAATTACAGTATTTACTTCCAGTGTAAACACATCACCCACAGCACCAAGCCCCAGATCAGGAGGGGATTTCTTCCCTTCGGGCTCTGCCCAGCGCTGCCTTTGATCAGGACACGTTGCCAGGGAGCTGCGCCCCAGTTCTGTCCAGGGCTGGGGCTTCAACAAGTCTCCCCGGTTCCCTTCAGTGCCCGTGTCGACCCCCGGCCCACCCGTGTGCGTGTGTGTGGAAATGCCAGAGGTGGGGGGAGAGGAGGGGGATCCCCTGAGGGCGCCGAGTTGCGATGTGCCCCCCACACACACCCCCCCACACCGTGAGGCCTTCGCTACCTTCAGGGAGCGGCAGCCCCCGGCCCGCTCTGACGGGATTTACCGGAGAAGCCGCCCTCACCTCCCGCAGCGCGGCTCCGAACTCCTCCTCGCTCCGACAGCCCCGCTCCCACAGCGCCTGCAACAACACGCCGCCCCGTCACTCCCTCGCCCGGCCTCGGCCGTCGCCACGCCCGGGGATGAGGGGTGCCCGCCGCCCCGCCGTTACCCGCCCGTGGTCGCGTCGGAGCTGCTCCTCGTCCCGGTACCGGACGTGCAGCCCGTAGCGCCCCACGAAGACGTTGTCGGAGAAGAAGCAGGCGCAGGCCAGGAACGGGCGGCCCGCCGACATGTTTCCCGCCGGCGGACGGACGCGGGTCCCGCCGCCAAACGGCTCCGCCGCGGGGCGGGGAGCGTCGCTTCCCACCGAGCTGGCGTGAGCGAGGGCCCGTCGGCAAATTCCCAACGGGGAGAAAAACGATGAAACGAGGCGAAACTTTCCTGTTTTCGTCCTGTTTTACGCGTCTATTGTTGCCATTTCTGTGACGCGGCCGGGGCCTGCAGCGATGCCGCTTCCCCACAGCCCCGCTCTTCGGCAAGGCCCGGACCGCACGTCTGCCCCCGCGGGCAAGGCGCTGACACCCCAGGGGACGGCGGCGCTGGCGGGACAACCGCTTCCCTTGACAGGGAGCGAGGTGGAGTTGTCGAAACGGCCACGGGCTCCGCGTGTTATTTGTAGACGGTCCCTGAGAGTCCCCACCACGCCCTCCCTGTCGTAGGCGGCCGTCGTGCACGCGCAGGCGGAGGGGACGCGCCCGGCGGGGTTGGGGGGCAACCGGGCCCCGGAGGGGGCTACCGGGCCCCGGGCCGTGCTGGCCATGGACTCGGCGCTCCAGGTGGCCGAGGAGGAGGTGGTGGCGGCCGAGTCGTGCGGCCCCAGCACCAAGTTCGAGGACATTTACCGGCTGCTGGCCGAGGGCTGCTTCCCGCCCAGCTTCTGCTCCATCAAGAGGAAGAACCTCAAGCGCTACGCCCAGAAATTCGTCGTCGACGGTGGGGACCCGGGGGACAGCCCGGACGGGACCCGCCAAGGAGGGAGGGCGGGGAGGGTGGGGCAGCTCCTGGCTTGCCCGTGGCCCCGGCCTCTCCCTGAGGAGAAGCGGGTGGGGAGGGGACCCGTGTGGGAGCCGGGGGACCCAGGGACCCGTGTGAGGATCCAAGGACTCGTGTGGGGGACCCAGGGACCCCCATGGGAACCCAGGGACCCCCGTGGGGACTCAGGGATCCCCGTGGGAACCCAGGGACCCATGTGAGGACCCAGGGACCTGCTGGCAGGAAGGCTGAGGCTTGGCTGCCCCCATGCACGAAGACAGATGCTCCTCCCTCACCGCACCCGGAGGATACGTGGCCTCTTCGGGGTGCGCCGGTGCCGGTACCTGCTGCCCCTCTCACACTGTCTCTTGTGCCTTGGCATCGCTTTTGGGACACGGAGCAGGGATTTGCGGCAACCTAGGGCAGCACCCCTGCACAGCGGGGCAGGCCATAGCTGGCCTCTGGTGACCAACGTGGCTTTATCTTAGCCAGACGATTTTGCTCAGCCCTAGGTGCAGAAAAGGCATCACTGTGTTTATGTGGGGGGATTCCAGTTTAGCAGCTTCTCCAGAGGCGTTACAGAAGCTCCCAAGGCAAAAATCCCCCTTTGTTGTGTTTCACCTGGTTTTCCTATTGCAAAAAATGTCCCTTTCACTGGGACTGAGTGGCTGAAATGCCTGTGAGAGTGTGTTGTTTTAGACAAACCTCTCACATCTGCAGGTGGCTGCCTCTACTATGTGGGACCCAAGAAGGAGGAAAAGCGTGAGGTGATTGTGGATCCCGAACGGAGGCGGCAAGTCTTTCTGGAAAGCCATTTCACTGAAATTGGGAACCACCTGGGCCAGAAAAAGACTGTGCACCGGATTCAGAGCCGGTACTACTGGCTGGGGATTGTGAAGGATGTTGTGGACTGGGTAAGTTGAGAGCATTGACCATGTCAATGACACTGGTATTTCCCAGGACGTTCAGGCAGCTGTCCCAAGTGAGCAGCTAGAAGAGCCCTGGTGCAGGGATGATGTTGTTTCTAGTGCCTGTTGCTTTGAAGCCACACACTTAAGTAATTCTGCAGGTGAAATTGTTGGAACATCCCAAGGCAGCTGGATAGATTGGATGTCTTTCCCCTGAGCGTCAGGAAACCCGCGCAGGTAGGCCTCCTCGTTCAGGGCAGCTTTGGCCAGCGTGGGAATGTGGGATTGTTTCAGAGGAGTGTTGCAGAGTCTAGCTTTGAGCAGTCTGGATTCCTACCAGAGCTGCCCGGTTCCCTAAACTATTGTAACAGGAGGAGCTCAGTGTTTCCGCTGGCTCTCCTCAACTGCTTTGCCTCACCCATTTTATTGCTGAAAGTTCTCTGCAGCAGGGATCTGCAACAGTGTGGTTTGAAGAAGCATGGTTGCATTGCACGGTTCGTGCAGCCCATGCTCCTCCAGCATCCTGGGGCTGATGATTTGTCTAGCTGGCAGTAGAAGTTTAAAACACAATAAATAATTGCCTAAAAACAGGGTGAGAAATGTCTTAGCTATAGGCCACGTTGAGAAAATGGGTTATTGTGTCAGAGAAAGCTGTCAGGTAAGTTTTGTGAAAGATTATCTGTGTCAGCCTGTTGTGTTTTGGCCTCTTTTTCTTGCACCTGACTATTTTTACTGGGTAGAAGGAAGCTGCTCAGACGTGCTGTCCATCCCATCCCTTCATAACCTATCCAGCCTCAATCTGACAGAATTCATCAGCATATTTTAAAGTCCTTTGACATGTCTTCTTCCCTTCCCAGATCAAAATGTGTGAAACGTGCCAGAACGCAGAGCACAACAAGAGCATATCGCGGAAAGCAAGGCCCATCAAAGTGGAATCACCCTGGGAAGTGCTGGGATTAGACGTTCATGGTGAGTGCGTGCGGATGACAGACAGGCTTTTCAAGGCTTCCATGCCAACTGTCAGCAAGCATGACAGACTCACTGCCGCACACACGTGGGTGAAAGCAGCCTGCGTCTGTGTGAGGAGGTGCCAGGGAGGCCACAGCAGCCTACCAAGGTGCAACCTGATCCATGTGCCTGGCTTGGTTCCCTCTCCACACACAATGGGAGTTGCGGGCGTGTGTTACTTCCCAGAATTGAGACTGTGATGGGTGTATTTTTGCTGACAAAGGTCACAGAAATGTACTGGCCGAATGACATTGCAGAAAAGAGTTGTCGTTGTTTTCGCAGTGGTTGTTTTGCTGGGCTGGGTTTTTAACTTTCCTCATTTGGGTGATATTACGGCATCACATTGATTTTTCTTGATGCTTGCTTATGCAGGACCTTTTCCTGAGACAAGCCAGAGCAATACACATGTCCTCCTTGTGACCGACTACTTCACTAAGTGGGTTGAGGCTGCTCCTCTGCAGAAGAAAGATCCCTTATTAGTGGCTAAAGCCCTAGCTACAATTTTTTACAGGTGGGCTCCTCTGTTGTTGGGTACATTGCACCTCTGCAGTGAAACGGGACACACTGGGATGTGTATTGCAAAAAACCTCAGTGTTCACAAGATAGTTTCCCATGAGAGCAAGAACTCTCCCTTCTACGGGAGAGACCATGCAGTGCCTCTCAGTTGCTCTTTACAAAGTAATTGGGAAGAGCCTGGTATCCTATTGTTGTCAGGGGAGGGGAGAAAGAGGCAGAAGTGGTTCTTTGAGTAGCCCCAAGGCGAAGAGAGCTGGTGACCCAGTTCTCTGCAGAAGTTTTAAAACCATTCCCTGATCCCTGCTAGAAAGTGTTTATTTTGCACTCACATGATGCATGTCACCACGCGATACTGCCCTTGTGGAAAATGCATGTGACTTTTAGAGATTTGCATTCAGAGCAAGAAACTTTGCTTGTTTCTCCTGCTGTCTTATAATTCAAAAGCAAACAGGCTTGGCTGTTTTGGAACAGATGGAGCCAGCAGAACTCTCTTTGCTCTTGGGGAGGTGAGGTCATACCAGCCTCTTTAGGACCAGCTCCACCGGAGGGTCTCTGTCCCTTTCATATCCCGTTACCCATGAAGATTGAAAGTCCCTTTTGTGTACCATTACCCATCAGCTCTGCCCTGCAGCTGATGGAGTAAACCCAGTTGTGTGTCCTTTTCTTGTTCAGGTTTGGAGCGTCCAAGAACATTTACGCCACTCAGAGCTGGGACTTCTGTGAGGAGGTAGGTCAGGTGCTGGGTGGTTCAGGAAGAAGCAACATGACCTTCAGCAAGTTTTTTTGGGGCAGCAGGTCCCAAAGGCAGAGTTGCAGTGTGCCATGTAGGGGGAGCAAGGAGCTGATGCTGCCTTCTCAGTGTCCTAGCCCTGTTGAGAGCGGTCGATGATTTGCCAGTGCTTTTGCCCTGTCAGTGATTTAAGGTTGTGGTTCTGTGGTGCAAGTCCTCCAGCCACACTCTGTGCTCAGAAGGAAAGGTCCTGTGAGATCATGTCCATGAGATTCCTGCCCTACCCTGGGATTAACCCAGTTTCCCAGTGCTGTGGAAAGCCTCAAGCACAGGAACAGTTGTTGCAAAACATTTTCTCAGGCTCTAACTTTTCTGGGGAGTTTTTTCTGATGAGGTATGGGGACAGTGCCATCTTGTGCTGTGGAGGCTGCTGGCTGCTGTGGTGCAAACCTGCCTTCTTGTTCCATGGGCATGCCCCCCACCTTTGCAGGTCAGTCGGCATTTATGTGAGCACTGGAACATCTCACAGATCCTCACCCCTGCAGACCCCCCAGACTGCGCAGGCCTGGACGACCACAGCTCCGAGGTGCTCAAATCCTCCATCTGCAATGTGGTGAATGAGAAGCCCGGTGAATGGGACGCCCACCTTGACCCCGTGCTCTTCGATTTCCGCACCTCCGTCAATTCTTTCACAAAGTACACCCCCTTCTTCCTCATGTTCAACAGATATGTGTGCCTGTCATCCGAGGTAACGTCTCGACAAGGGAGAGTCTTGTAGAAGGTTTGCCACTGGCGTGGTTACAGAGTAACATCAAGTATCTGTACTTTGCAGGTGGATTTTGTCAAGGACTCTAAAGAGCAGGGGGCTAGCTCTGGTAAGGCAGACAGCCTCCCGCCATTCACAGCCACGGTTCAGGAGCAACAGAACGCAGTGAAAGAAATTGTAAGTCTTGCAGTGCCTTGAAATCATTTTGCAGCTAAGCCCCCGCACGATCCCTTGCACCAGGCTCGGTCAGAGCCACACAGAAGAGATTTGCCCATACAAGGATCATGCTACCGCGCGTGCCTGCCCGGGTGCACAGAGAGAGTCCCCAGCCCCGTCTGTTCAGAAATGCCGTCTCACAGAAGTTCTTTGCCTGCAGGATCTCTCCCGTCACCGAGCAGAGCAGGTAGCTGGTGGGCTTGAGCAGAGCAGG